CTAAACAGCTTACGCTGAACTGAATAAAAATAAGTCTCCGGGTTGTTTTAAATTGGTTCCTGTGTATTTTCTCAACATAGGTCACATTCTTGAACATGGACATTGATAGCATTTTCGTGAATACTAGCCTGTTCTCAAGAAATATAAAATCTGAGGCTCTCATACAAAAATGGTCTATGGTCGTCTATGAAAATTATATGGCAGGCTATCACCCCTATGACCCTCTATGGTTGGCCTTAGAAATCCATAAAGACAGCTACAGCCAGCTAGAAAAAAATCTATGGCCCTGTGTCTAAAGACTGGGAACCAATAAATTGTCTTTAAGCATCTATAGAAAAATTTATGGCCCGAGTCTAAAGACTAAGAACCAATAAAATTTCTTTCCACGCCCACAGAAAATCCCTACCGGCGCTTACTTTTTTTAGTAAAAACACTCCACGTTAGAAAATTAAAGTAATACTAAATTTCTGTCAGGCAGGTGACAAACCATGACGCAAGATCTGTTCTCTGCTGTTGCAACGAGTCGTGAAAACCAGTAATATTGTTTGTTTGAAAAACCCATTAAAATACTTGTACAAAAATTAAAAATAATTATTGCACCCCAAAGTGAAAATAACTTTCACTGGCGCCGAACACTGCAATCAAGCAATAGATTGATTGCAATCTTCAGTTCCAGTTTACTGCATGTTATCACTGCATTGCCAACGTGATTCATCAAACTTATTGAAAAGTTAATTAATATATTTTAATTAATTAGCCTAATGATCTACATTTGCTTTTTTCAGGGTTTTGAATTAAAAGATGGGGGCTATTCCAAGAGACAATTCAAATAATATATTAAGTACGACTAATATTTGCTCCGCCTCTCCGTGTTTTTGCGACAAATGATGGGTCACCGGCAAAGTCGGATTCAAAAATTAGACTGCCATATATACAGCTAGTGTGATCATAGCGTTTGTAGATCTGCGTTGTTGCTGCAGTGTGGGGAAGTGTTTTGCTTGTGTGGTGTGTGTTCAGAGTTGTATGTATATCTATACATAGATTTACATATATATCTACACATTGATACACACATATCTATACATTGATACACATACACCATGTAGCGTTCACAAGTCGGGAGAACTTGAAGTAATTTTTTTTTTTTTTGGGGGGGGGGGGTTTGCGGGCTAAAGAGAGCCATAGGGAACGCCATAGGGAAGTCTTTATTCAATCATTAGAAAAGCTAAAGAGCGCTTTGGCTGGACAGCGATCGGGCCATAGACAAACCTAAAGAAAAGTAGAAAAACACATACTGCAACATTATCATCCCCAAGACTGGCTCGCCCGTGAAGAGCCACCCTGATCCGAGTTCTTTTTACCCATATAGCCAGGATTGGCTGACCCGAAAGCAGCCACCCTGGCCTGGGCTGTATTTACCCCGTATAGCCAGGATTGGCTGACCCGCAAACAGCCACCCTGGCCCAGGCTGTATTTGCAGGATGGAGCCCAGAATGGCTAGACGGGGAATTGCAGCTTACTGCCAATCTTGGCGTGCCAGGTTGGCTCTAGCTGAAGCCTTGGTGCAAAACAAGCATTGCCCAAGGAAAGTTTCCTTGGCTGTCCAACCTGGCGCGAGCTAGAGCCAGGGTATTGTGCTACCTGGGTTAGTTTTCAGGTATCCCTTGCGTATTCGCTCGTAGTTATATTTATCGTCAGATTAAGAAGTCACACTCGGTCCTTTCAATGCTTCTATTAACGGGGATTTCTTTCTGAGACAGTTCAGCAATAACAAAAACATGTTTGGGTGCCTCAATAAATGTGCATGTAAAGTGGGTCCGCTGATCCCTGACGTTAATAACTTGCAAAAACACCTGTTAGCTTTCCTTTCCGCTGAATGGCAGACGCAGAAAAAATAAAGGAAATAAACCTCTTTCCCCTCCTCAACTCGCAATTAGAACGAGCGGCAACGTGATCTGACGCTAATTATTTACCGTCAGCATTCATCAGGGTCATGCGCTGGGGATGGCAAAGGGTAAAGCATGGGTTGAGCTTTAGACATTGTTAGAGTTGGGCTCTTTTCATCTTTGATTGAACACAAGCCATCGTCATGTTGATCCTCATGAGCTCGAGCTCTCGACTCGGGCTAATGACAATCAAGGGGGGGGGGGGGGGGGCAAGGGGGCAGGGGGGCCAATTTTTGTCAAAAGCAATGAACAAAACTTGAACTACTTTCAATCTATCGGAGTCAAAAGCAGTCCACCTGTACGTAAGGGAGCAGTTGCACAAGACAACCACACCGCAACCTGTCCTTCGATTTAAATCGCGTTCCATTTTTCTTTTTGGGGAAGTTTCTCGTGTGACCGGGAGGGTGGCCGGGGGGGGGGGGGGGGTAGGGGAGGGAGCTGTAAGCCGCAATTTAACACGCGAAGAGCCGCAGCTTGGCCACCCCTGGACTAGATTTTCAATTTCAAAGCGATCATAAGCCGTTTGTCACGTTGTTTGAAAACAGGCAACTCGACGTGCTTCCACCGAGTGTTCGAAGGTTCCGTATGAGGTTTATGCAATTATCTTTTTCGACATGTTACATCCCTGGAAAACAGCTCGTCACGGAAGATACTTTTTCTTGGGCACCCCGTGTGGAAACAGTTTGTTCTGAACTTCTGGGCGAATTATTGCTCGACGACATATTAAGCTTTGTGAGAGGTTCTGTGAGCCATGTCGAACTTCCGACACATCCGTAAAAATATGGGCTGCACAACTACAAGACGGCTCATGCCAACAGCTTCTGTTGTATAGTCATAGGAGCAGGCCACACTTCCAGAGCCTGAGCGCGTGGTTAAACCCTATTGGTCAGAAAAAGCGAACCTTTCGAGTCATGATGGTGTGCTAATGTTTGGGTCTCGTCTAGTGACCCCTTCAAAACTTAGAAGGGAAGTGACGGCTTCCTTGCACGAAGGCCAACAAGGCATTGTTAAATATCTCACAAGAGCTCGTGAATCGGTCTGGTGTTCCGGACAATTCCCGCGTGATGTGATTGCGTATACGTCTTCGTATGGGCCTCACATCAGTGCTTGGAGGCATCGAAAATAATTGTACTGTCTTGCAATACGCAAGAACCGCAACAGAATTGTAAGAGATCTGGGGAATTAAGCCTTAGTGATAAGTTTATTGTATGCACAGTGCCAAAGCCGCTTATATTGGACGAGGAAAGCTTTCAGTACGATAATGCTCCTTAGCGATTTTGCTTCGATTGGATGGAACGACTTTTTGAAAGTTCTGAAGATATGAAAGGTCCAAAAATGCCGAGAGCCATGGCAACCGCGACCGTTCAACTAATCACCTTGATAGGTTTTATCGTCCGTATGCTGCTATTTGTTTGTGTCCGACTAGCAGGCCTGGAAGGCAATGGCGCTACTTTGCCACGATCCGGTGACTTTATTCTTTGGCAGCACGGGCAACCTTTTTGGCAGAGCCCTTGATAGTGAGAGTTTTGAGCCCTTGTTCGAACATGCCGACAGCAACCACAGCTGTAAGTCTGGCAACCGACAAGCTGACATTTTGTATGTCACCTCCACTCGCAGTTATGCACGCCAGGCATGCGGTGATCCGTCATTGTAATGAAACTATTTGCCCTTAATTTAAGCGCCTTTGGTGCTGTACAGACAATCAACCACTTAAACTTACTTATCTGCTCCAATCTCTTAATTTTATACAATCTTGAATTCATTCCTCTTTTGTCAAAAAAAAAAAAATTTACTCTGAATTCTTTGAATACTATGTTCCAAAACTGACCACACCCAAAATTCCGTGGCGTGGCGGGCGCCATCTAGGAGAGGCGCTGAGAACTCCTGTGCTCGACTGCCAGATTCCTTCTTGTTTGAGAAAGCATAATTTTGTTTATAATAAACAAGAACAAAATAGTTATATAGCTATGGTTTTGGAAATAAATAAAAGGGGACCAGTGCTTGGATACAGTGACGAATTTCAGGCATCAAAAATGTCAGAGTACAAAAGATTGTGAACAATTCACCGCGAATTTGAACTCTCACATGGAGAACAGAGTTGCCAGCACCAAAAACCTACCCATTGTGGCAAAGCGAAGTCCTCTTCTTTAAGCGGGCGACAGGCTCCGCCCACCTGGCTGAACTCTATATAGGGCTCTGCCCTTCGGGTTGAATGGTCTTAAGTTTCACGTTTACTACATTCACTCTTTTAAAAAGATCATAACCATACCGCTGTAGTAGTACGTCTTACGTAAATTTAAAAATGTTTAGCACGTATTTTTGGAGACTGTCTAAATATATACAGAAACAATACAGCCATATGTCTGGCATATATTAAAAGATATGAAAACATGTGTGAATTTATTTCTTGTATATGAAATGTTTGCACGATATCTTACCATATATTAGGTAGATTTCTAATACATCGTAAGATATGGTTACATATTCCTGGAAAATATGTTATATGTTTTTCTGTGTAAACAAAAACAAACAATCAAACAAAAAAACGAAATACAAGATTATTAGGCATATTAGGCATATTCAAAATACATTTCCAGTATACCATTTTTTAGTAGGGGGTGTCATGCGGCGACATCTCACGCCGCTTATCAGTAATGGGGGCGAACCTTTTACGTACTTCCCCAGTGGCGAGGCGGTGTATTTCAAACACTTCTCCTCTTCCAACGTGGGAAACGACTTAACAAACGTAAAGTATGCTTGCTGTAGGTTATGATTATGATCATGAAGAAGCGCACTTCGCCTTGTGTACCCTGCTCATGTATACGCCAATGGGATACTGTGCAACAGCAGGCTTAGGGTTAACCCTCAATCTAGTGAGCGTCTATTCGGGGCCGTGACAATGCTTACCTTCATGCAAGCAAAGCGGCATTCTAGCAAACCAGGAAGAAAAACGCGACCTCTTTAATACCCTTGGTTGCATAAAGAGACAGCCGAAATTCGCAAGATTAAAATTGACATGTTTTTATTCTCCACCAGGTTGTAGACGCGGTGCCTTCACCACTGCATAGTGCGATCCCGCACTTCCTGCCACGTGGGACTGCTTTCGCTGTAGAACTGGTCGTACCACTTGCGAAATTGTGCGACGGTTTTCTCGTTCTTCTGCAGTGGTGGATGCTGATGCATGGTCTTGTGGTTCCAGGCCAGGATGTCTCTTCGAAACTAGGGAGGACAAAGGGAGTGTCATCTGGACCGAACACTGATAAAGTAATCCCGTTAGCGCAAACACAACATTCGCTCTTCCTTTCCTTTTAATTCAAAAGGGTATTGGCGGATGTCAAATTTTACATTTTAGGTTACCACCCCGAATGAACACTTTCTATTACACAAGTACCTTTGTAGACAGTATTTCTATTTCCTTTTGCTAACGGTGTCGTACAGTATTCGAACAAGTACAGTAATGTCGCGCACTTATATAGGAACCCCTGTCAGCTTTCTAGATTTCAGAAGTACTGGTGTTTTACAGCGGTAGCTGTTAGTGCCCTTTCCCGGCAAAAACGCAGATCTACGAATGCAAAAACCCCACTCTACAGCAGAGGCACTGCTATCCGTCTATGCACCTCGTTCCTCCCACACGGCCAGGAACTACCTTGCTACCCCCTCCTCTCCACCCTGCAGAAGGCCACTGTCCTTTCTCCGGCGAAAGCTCTCCCTTCCCCCTCCCCCACTCAACCTCCCCCCTCCCCACCCCACCCCTCCGGCAGTCACTACTGCAAAATACCCACGTTGTCGCTCTGTGCGGACACGCTCACTCGTCTCCCGACTGCCGCCGCCCAGGTTCCGTTATCGTGTACTCTCCGCTCCTCTACAGAAGAGCTCGCTTACGTACTTTAGCGTCTTCTACTGCAGGCGCGATAACGAATTCTAAAAAAAAACATTTCATATAAACAAATGGAGTATTTGTGTTCTTTAACACATGCAACATCTCCCACAATCGTTTTACTAAAGTCCATTTCTCCTCAAAAACACCTCCTACATCAATTCCACTGAAAAAAAAAATGCAAACAATATATTGCAGCACACTTTGGGTGGGCGGTTTGCATTGCAACTTTTAGCGTGGTTGGCGTGACTATAATGTTTGCTTCTGGTACTGTGTCTAGTTTTGTAGATATACGTAGTATTAATGGTTTTTATTGCAAAAGAAACAGAAACAATAGGCTGGAGAGCCGCGCTAGCGCTTAGAATCTGTTAAGGCTGGACTCCATGGAGCGAACTTTCATGAAATTCACGCGGCAAAAATGTGCATTTAACGACGTGCAGCCGCGTATTCGTTCAGCACTGAACTCCATGAGACGAACAAGCTGCGAACGCCGCCGACGCGAACACCGCGACTGTCAGTGTTGCCAAAGGGGAAAGTGAATAACCACTGAAACCAACTACTTATAAAGCTTTGTTTAAACACGCCATATGCGTAAACCGTGCAAAACAAATTCGACGAAACGAGCAAGTAATCTATAATAATGTACTTTTCAGTGTTAATATGTCTTCAGGTGTTTGTTGGGAAGGAGAGTGTCCAGATGGCGGCGGGGAGCACTACTTGGTCTGTAACACTGTGCATCGGAGCCAGGCGGAAACCAAGCCGCGTACTGCGTCCTGATTGGCCCGCGTCTTTCGCCGCGCGTCGGCCGCTTCCGGTAGCAGCGTTCGCAGGTCAAACAATATTGTCACGAATGGAAATGGGCTCGACAAATCTAAACTGAAAATAAAGGTTTAATCGGCGAACTTGTGCCAGAAAACAATACAGAGAACGAGCGTCGAGACAGCAGAAAAGCGGCCGGTGATTTGGCGGTGTAACAACAAGCGAGAGCGAGACTGACTCGACGATGTCACCCGGAGCTCCTTATCTATGTGTGTCTGTGTCTCAAAAATTTGGGCCAGAAGGTTTGAGCGTCGAGCGTTTGGGGTGAGAATGAACGGGCACTTTCGAGAACAAGAAAGTAGTACGAAATGACAAAAGTTACGTCTCGAATAAGAATAGACAGGGATCTTCTACAAGTTTGTGACCGGGCGTTTCTTGTTAGGCCCATTATCGCGGTAATATCTAGCTCTGCTAGATATGCTGTGAACAGTCAGTTTTTTTGACGCCGTGGCAACAACGTACGCCACCGGGCTGAGTTCGTCGGTTATTTGCCGCATATTCGCTTCATGGATTTCAACCTTTATTCCAATCTGCTCTGGTGATGAGGTTCATCCCTTTTGTAGCACGGGGCTCAAAGTTGGCTTTGTCTCTCGAGCTAAGTTTGTTCAATATTGTTTTTGCAGCTCAAGTCGTATGCTCATACAGCAGAAATGACGTGCTATCTCTGCTCAGAACGGGATAAAATGTTTGACATGCAACAAATCGACAACAAAAAAGATGCACGTAACTAAGAAAGCCAGATGCTAGCCCACCAATGTCTAAATTCAGACAGAAAAATAAAACTACCCCGAATCTCTCAGGGCTCGTGTTTGTAAGAGTGCAAACATTAAATTACCTTTCTACAGCTACATATATGTGCAACAAACAAGTTAAAATCTGACTAATTGCAGCTGCGAATTTCGCCTTTAGACATCCGTGCAAACTTCAACGATGCTGCAATGTTAAAAGTGAGGTTATTACTTGTCGTAATTTGAATTATTGTTTGCAGGCCATTTTATGAGTAAAGAAAGACGGTTTACGACTCAACCTTATGCCGCCCTAACCACGCCCTCTTGACCACTTTATGGCGAAAACAGCGCCTTAAAAACACAAATCTTCATTCAATAGGTTTACTTACCGCCGATAAATATACTTTGCTGACAAAAAAGCGGAAGATCATCAGTGCACGGGGTTCAAAGTAAATCTTGTGCACCACTCGGTTTTGAAACGGTCCTTCAGGCGTGATCGTTACCACCATCCGGATATCTCCGAGCTTGCACGACACCTGCACGATCATGCACCCGGGGCCGTGGAGAGTGACGCGCGCCTTGTGGTTCAAGATGGGGTAGATCTTTCCGAAAACTCTAAGGTTGGCGTCAACTTCCACGATGGACGTGTGCGCCTCCACGTGCCAATCAGCCGTCCAGTCGTAGGACAGCATTCGGCCCCAGAAGGTGTCTCCGGCGCTCACGGAAAACTCCTCGGGGGACATCAAGGGGTTCGGTTTGTGCAAGGCTCCAAAGTGGGTCAAGTCTGCCTCGTTTTCGCCCAGGTCTCTGATGTGGACGCTGAGGATGCTCTCGTAACGCATTTCTAGTTTCCAATGTCCATTGGAGACTTCGCGGACATCCTCAACTTGCCAGGACGGTGGCCCATCGTCGGCGTGGTACCACATGAAAAGCGAGCCCAGAACTTCCCGCGTCTCCCACGTCTTGACCTTCACAAACTCTGGCGCTGCGTTTCAAGCAAAAAAGTATAAAAATAAGAACATATTTTGTTGATTACTTCTGTTCCCTTATATTCGTCGCATCAAGGTGATAGACGATGACTATGCACAAATATGACAAGCAGCGTTTAGGTCACAATTTGTAGTTCTCGTGTTTACCATGCCCAGATTATAGTTAAAATTCCGTGTTCTCGAAAACGTAGAAAGAAATCCGAAAACCTTTCGAAAACAGCCACCAGTAATATTTACGTCAATTTGGATTTATCCAACAAACTCTAAATTTTAATGCCCTAATGCAAAAAAAAAAAAAAAAGAATGAAGTTGATATTATACAGGTAAGCTTGGTCAACGCCCAAGATCAATAGTCGTGGAAGAATGCCGCCAAAGTCTCCTTTCAAATATCGGATCATCGACAGTATGGGTCCTACCAATTGGGCAACGGGCCATTCGGCGCACGACAATTCGTAGCAGGTCAATTGGTTAGCAGGGCGTTTCGTAACATAGAGCATTTCATCACAGAGAAATTCGTCGTGGTGACAGTTCGTGAGGCATGAGTGAACTTCGTTTCTCCGTGTCATTTTTTTTCTAATGCCAAACATATTCCTCAAAAATTAAAAAAAAAAAAAAAAAACCTCGGATTTCGCGAAAGAAGCTGTCTGGTTTTCCAAACTTTAACACAATCCGGGCACTAGTCGTCTTGGTTACTATCGGAAGAGAGCGGCATATATGCATGTTTGTCAAAATGAATTAATTTAGAAAGGGCCAGTCTACTCTTTAAATGCATCTACTCATAGTGAAGCGTTTCGGCCACACGCCTCAAGGATATCTGTGCTGTCGGTTTCCTCGTAGCTTTGACAAATGACTTGAAGGCGCTTGTCTTGTTTCCTCGACAGTCGTATCGAGAGGATAACGCTTATTGCGGCTTGGCTAAAGCTTTATTTCGGCTAGTGCCTGCTTTTCCTCGATTAACTCCAAGAGAATCCAGATACCCGATGATGCACAATCGACGTGCACACAAAACATTTCACATTGAGTAGATGTATCTATAGGGTAGAATGACCATTTCTAAATAAATTTGTTTTGAGGAATATGCATATTTGCCGCTGTCTTCCGATTAGTTCCCGGGACAACTTGTACCCAGATTGTGTTGGAACCCCGATTAACCAGATAGCATCTACTGCAAAAGTAAGTGGTTCAACCATCTATTATAAGAGACTCCAAACATCTGTGTAAGTAGGGCCTTACCCGCGACTTTTTATTTGGAGCAAAATGCCGGGCAATAAAAAAAAATGCACGGAAATACAAAGTTATTTCAATAGTCTGAAAGCAGGCACCGCGACGAATTGCCCTATAACAAAATGCCGTATGTGACGAACTGCCCTGCTACGAATTGACCTGCTGCGAATTGTTTTTTGACGACGAGGCCTACAGCCTCACCGTTTATCTCGTCAAGCTTCATTTAGGAAAACAGTATATTGTACTTCTGAGTCTTAATAGAAACCATTGCTCAAGATTCCAGTTTTGGAGTACAATTTTTTTGCTTTTAGAAGGAAAATGATTTTTGTTTTTCTCACAGTGCAAGCTACGAACCATAGAAATTTCATAAATAGTGAAACGGAAGATAGGGGGGGGGGGGGGGGGGGGTGGAGGCGCGGCAGGAGAAGGAGTGTTGTTGAAGTTGTACCTTCTTTTAGGGGCCCATTTCCGCGCTCAGCGCGGGGTAATGTGCCTGAATTTGATGAAATGAAATACGAAGCTTCCTGGCGATTACCTCCAGGAGTTTAGTGATTTAAAAATATCATCGCTTATTGAAGCAACAACTGCTTGCAAGTATTGCTGAGGCACATATTAGTATTGCCGATGGCAGATGCAAAATTAAACTTAGAAGTTCAAGAAAAAGAAGTAAATTCCAAGAAATATTATGCGATTCTGACGAAAAATTTACACCAAAGACACAAAACACTAGTCATAGTGCATACACAGAGCGATACATTTAGCTCGCACAAATACTTGCAGGCTATTCTTGATTTTCTATCTAGATTGAAAGCCTGGTAAGAAAATAAATAGTGTTCAGCTATTCTACGTTAATTCAGTACTCGCTTCCTGAAAGAACCGTTTAAAGCAGCGACCTCATACTCTCGTGCTTGTGGCATTGACTGCAGTCTCAGCTGAAGGGTCAATGGAGTATAATGGTAAATATTGGGGTCCGTCCACGTACTGTATGAGACAATTACAAGAAAGGCCGGTGTTGTTTTCGCGCTAACAATCTGACGCGCTACACAGAGTGCCGCCGTAAGAACCAACACATCTGGCACGCCTTGCAAAATTTCGAATTTCAAACGTGCATACCTGAAATGGGGCCGCGAGCGTAGTTTCGAAAGCCATGTTATGTCTATTGCTTAGAGCAGAACTCGGACGTGGTGAAATATCAAAAATAAAGAAAAATTGGAGGCCGCGTATTTTGAATACCCTATACCAGCCTGTTTGTTGTCTCCAGACTGGTTTATGAGCTCGATTCCTGGTGGCTTACTGAACGCAAAAAAACAAAACAAAAAAAAAACACCAAGGAGCAATAATAGAGCAAGGCGACGAGCAATATAATCGCGATAATTAAATCTTTTAAGGCAATACATAAACAATGAAAACCTGGAAGCAAGCTCACAAACCAGTGTGCAGACGAATAACATCGGATATAGGGCATAATATATGCACGTCTGACGTTTTTGCTCTGAGCTCTGAAGAAAATTGACAAAACTTCTTGTGAAACTACATTCCCGTGCCCTGTTTTAGGTATCTACAGTGCGCCGCAATATGAAAGACCCACTCGGAGCGCTCGGCTACGCGCTCCGTGTAGGTTTTTCATATCATGGCGCACTGTACGTTAGGAATTAGAACATTCCAAGGCGTGCCAAATGTGTTGGTCCTTACGGCCCCACACTCTTCAAGCAATCGCTAAAATTTATATAGTATTTTCGAATAAAAAAAAAACGAAATTACTATTGTGTTGGGACCTTCGCATCTTCTGCCCAAATTAGCAGCGAAGATGTGTTTTTTATTCATACATTCCCTAAACGAACAGCGAAAAACCATTGATGCCGTGTCAACACAGTTTCGCACAGTGCACATGCAGTGTTCATTTTGAGAACGTACTTGGTTCCTAACAGGATATTTTAGTATTCTCGTGACTTTTGGTGGTCGAAAGAAAACTCTTTTAGCATACCCAAGCACGCATCTTATATGATGAAGAGAAGCTTGACTGTGCAATTTCTTTAGAGTACCACCCTCCAAAATCCTGAGATTGTCTCATGGGCTTCCGTGCTCTATCCTCGGCATTATTTTTATTTTAGACTGTGTTAAATGAGACCGCCTGACCTCATACTGAGCAAGACGGTAGAGGAGTTATGCATGTCCTCTATATAAAGTTAAAAAAAAATCAGAGGTAAAAAGAAAAATGAAAGACGTTTACAAACCGCTTAAATGCGAAACTAGAGCCCAGCTTTTGAGTAGGAGGAGGGGAGGGTACGGAGGGTAGGGTATGCCCCTCCTCCTCCTAAGTACCCTCCCCACCTCCTCCTATCTCACTCCTCTCCCCCTTCCCTCTTTCTCCTCCACTAAATTTAGCGGGAAAACTTCCCGTTCAATTTAGCAGAAACATTTTCTTGCCAAATTTAGCGGGAAAATTCCGGAACTAAGTTTGGCGGGGAAATGTCCCATATCGCAACGCGCGCAATATTGCTGACGCCGACGCCAACGGCAACGCCGCTCAATCCGGAAACGGGCGCCTAAGAGCTCCGCTCTAAAAAATATCGGAAACTTTTTGAATTCCTACGCACCTTTGGCGCTGTAGGGCACATGCATGCAAGCTCCGTCTTCTCCCCTGAACCTCCAGCCGTGGAAAGGGCACTCGATGCAGTCTCCAAACACGCGGCCCATAACTCCCAGGTGGGCCCCCAGGTGGGGACAGTAGGCGTCAATCACGTGGGCCACACCGCCTTTAGTTCGGAACGCCACCAGCTCCAGGCCTGCAGACGCAGTTTGCATGATGGTACTTGTCACAATTCTGTCCTGATGCTGTCAAGCCTTACATTTTGAAAGACACTGAAATATGTGAATTCTTCAGAAGTTAACAGGATCATATGATGCTCTCTCTTCGCTAGGTGCTGTCTTGAATTATTCACGTTAATCATATACGAAAGATCCATTCGTGTTTTTGGTTCCGTGCACAAAAGCCTTTAAAACTTTATTTTCTAAACTCGACGCTGGAGCACTGCCTTGGCGGCATGTACAATCACTACTGCTGCTAGTGAAGATGGAAATCGTCATCAGCCATCTTGCTCAGTAATTAGCGAAGAAAATTACAAGAAATTATCATATAACGGGCTGTTGAAATTCTCATGTCTCGGCGGTTATTCTCACTATGCTGATTTTAGTTGAATTCGAATTCGCTGCTTTACCTACGTACGGTCGGTATGGACAATTAATGAGCTCATCCTAAGCAGTGACGTGGTGCTGGCCTCTAATTGATGTAATATATTCTATCATAACATTTTAATATCGCAGTAAAGTGTGCAGGTGGACTTCGGATACTTGAGGTACGGTCTGCCGCCTCTGTCATAACTGAGCGTCCTCAAACATCATGAAAGCTCACCGAAGGGGAATAAATTCGAAATAGGACTTTAATTGTGAAATTATTCAGTGGAAACAAGATATTGTCTTCCTCCCCAAGTAGTTACATAAAATAAAACAATGCAAGGCAAATATAAATGCTTACACCCTTATGTATGGTACGCGATAGCTAGCATAATTCCTGCTGCTATAACTTGGAAGATCAGGAAAAGTTCAGCCCGAGTCAAAGATTAAGAGCATTGGAATGATGCATGCGATAGCGCTCGACGAGAAGGGGCGCAGCCGTCTTGAATGTCGTCACTTTTGGTACGGAGGAAAACATAGTTTTAACCTTTCCACGCCGCGGAAATGTATTTACGAAAAATGCCTGATTGTCATATATGCTTGTTTTGCCTCACCTATATTTTCTCTCATATTTCAGGTTGAAATATTTTATTACTTTTTTGTAGAGAACACCCAATACGGAACCCACGTGACTGAGAACGACACGAAACAGAAAATGTTCTTTCCCTTTGCGAACGCGGATCCGCGTTCTCAAAGCGGTTGCGAACGCGGTTGCATAAAGATCCAGTGCAATTGCACGCGCACTCGATGACATCAAGCGCGCGTGCAATTGTACTGGATCTTTATACAACCGCGTTCGCAACCGCTTCGCGAAGGCGGATCCGCTTCCAGTGTGAATGAGCGGTCAGTATCCCGTAAAAGTGTACGAGCGGATGATTTCACTGCTTTTATTGTTGTACTAAGAATAACATTATACACGGTGAGCAGAAAAAACGATACACGTTTTAGCCTGGTAACACGCGTTTTGAAAGGTCACAGTTGAAAACTTACCCCCTCCTCGCGTGTACAAAATATATTTATACAATGAACATGTCAACGGTGCTTTAGGTTCTACTGAAACCTTTATACCAGTGCCACTTAATGTGCTCCTACGTCCGATAATTTAAAAGATGAGACGGAGTTTCTCAATCCGCGATGTCCTCCAGGTACCTACCTGGTTTTATCTTTATTGTTCATTAAACTGCTTGGTTACGTTTGTTCTAATACTTTGCCAGACTTGGCACTGTAAGTTTGTTAAGTACTATTTTAAAACACGTTCACATGGATGCTGTTCTTTGGCGGCCTATTCATAGCTTGTGTTTATAAATGATTAAAAATAGTGTCTTTGGCCTTAGTTCTGCCAAAAGAAAGTTGTTTACGTGTCGATACGGCTAGACATCAAACTTAGTTCATGAATTATAAAGTTGAAATAGTATCGTTACCTTACGAAATTCTAAAAGTTGAAAGACATTAAAATGTTTTGTTAGGAGCCTGATCACTTTTGAACATTCTTTTTAGAACGCAGCTCTTAGTCCCCCGTTTCCGGGTTGAGCGGCGGTCGCTTCGCCGTCGGCGTCGGCGTAACCGCACGCGTTGCATTATGGGACGTCACAGTTTCCCCGTAAAATTTAGCGGAGAAACTTAATTCGTGGAAACATAACCCGATATATTTAGCGAGGAAACTTTCCCGCTAAATTTAGTGAAAACAATTTCCAGCTAAATTTAGGGGGTTAAGTTTTTTCCCCTAAATTTAGCAGACAAATTGACGTCACGTGACCTTAACACCAATTCAATTTCCCCGCTAAATTTAAAGGGGGAAATGACCACGGTCACCCATGAACAAAATCAGCGGTAGGAGGAGAGGAGGAGGAGGCGGAGGAGGAGGAGGAGAGAGGAGGGGTTAGGAGGGTAGGAGAGGATGAGAGGAGGAGATAGGGTACGGGGGAGTAGGAGGTCCATACCCTCCCCTCGGTACCCTTTCCTTCTCCTCCTCAAGAGCAGCGCTCTAGTTTCACATTACAAAAAATTGTAAACGCCTTTCATTTTTTGTTTCAACCCATATTGTGTCTCTATAAAATTAAAAAAAAAGAAAAACACTGCAAACACACAAAAATGAAACTTCGAACGAAGCTGAACGAATTTAAATATTTCAAATTCACAAAATGCTACTTAGGTTAGGAAAACAATTAACTGAAGCGTTTTTATTTTAGATGGAGGTTTTTTTTTTGTTTTTTTGTATGACTGCCTATGGTAGAAACAACTTACCCAGTACATCGACCCTCCTCACTTGTTCGACTCCGAGTGCGGAAGAGTCAAAGAGGGCAAACCAGCCGTTTGGAAATACAGGCGGCAGGTCTTGCTTCGGGAATTTCGTCCGAACTGGTCGCAGCTATGAAACAGTAACGAGAGTTATGTATTTATATAGCTAACGAAAGTCGTATATGCAGCTCAATTACCCGAATTACCTGAAATTCGCTCCAACTTTTTTCACGAAACTGTTGTAAAACAAATGTGATTGTGCGACGCACTGCATCTAAGGGTACGTACCCTCGTCCATTATACCCAAAGAAAATACACGAGAGCATCTAGACTAGGAATTCTAAAAACGACAGATATTGAATTTCCAAAAGAAGGATTTTCTGCTGAGCAGCTCATGTTGAATATACCTGAGGCTGGGTACAAAGGAACATAAAAGTCGAAGAAACAGAAAGGGACAGGACGACGTTGTCCTGTCCCTTTCTGTTTCTTCCACTTTTATGTTCCTTTCTACCCCAGTCTCAGGTATATTCAACATGGTCAACATCCACCAGCTCGCCTGCACCCTTACTATTTTATCCATGAGCAGCTCATCTTGTAAATAGAAGCTAATACAGGTAGAAATCTAAAGAGAGAGAGGAGGAGATGGGAGCTCGCCGGGTCGTCGTAATACCAAGCTCAGGTTGGAATGACTAGTGGGAAGACGCCAAGCTAGTTGCCTTTTTTTCTACCCAATCTTCGAATGTGTTCGAGCAGCAAGGAGGGACAAAGGCAGCTCGCTCTGCATCCCCTCAACTCCCTCAAGTACTGCCCGGATATCTCGATGGAAACGGCAACAAATGCATTTAGATATAAAAAAAAAGCTGAAGGAGCCAACCTCAGGACATTAAGAGAAAATTTAGATTAAAGTGCCTTTTTGTTCTTTGCGGGGAAAGGAGGGGGGGGGGGGGGGGCGGGTGAGATTTCTCTTGTATTTTAGTGAACCATGCAAGATTCCTTCAAAACTGCATTTGCTTGAGCGGTTTCGAATATGCCGCTCAACAGTGACTGTTATAGAACTGACAAAATTAACAGGAAAGATGATTGTTTCTAGAAGAAAAGCAGTCTGAAACCTTGTAGCAAGATTATACAGCACCTAATTATTTTATAAAATAACTGAGTTCAAATCGCGTCTATAACTGAAAATCAAATGCTCCTATCACAACCCCCCCGACGCCCCCCCCCCCCTCGAAAAAAAAGAAAAAGAATGGATTGGGTACGATTCCGATAAACGTCAAATGTTGCGTTCTCGTACATCTGATTCTTTATACATTTATCTGCTTTCTAAAGGGACATCTTTGTATGTGTATCTGGTAAGTTTAGGCTTAGCACAAGTTATTAAATTTACGTGAAGCGCCATGCACACCGCGCGACACCGTTAGTGTAAGGACGACGTTAGTGTTTTTTTATATTCCTGTTTTACTTCAAACTGCAGACAAGAACTTTTATCACTTAGGTCATTGCACCAAAGGAGCACTTCTCCACCAGACCCCGCGTGTAGTTCAGATGGCATTCTTCATATTCTAAAACACAATCAGAGAAAACCGGCGATCGAGTTCGCGCTAATAGTGTCACGCAATTTATTTTTGCCGAGCTGGCAAAGCTCTAGATATTCTTGTAAAAATGTATGCACAAAAAGAAACATTTCAACTTGACCACATGAGATGTTTTTTACATACGGTATCGGCGACAATTATGAGAGGAAGGATGACGGTGGCGATGTCTTATAGTAAAACTACAATGATCGAAATATAGTGCCACTGAAAATATTAACGTAACAGTTTGTACGACATAATCCATACAAAAAAATTTTCCCATTGAACTTTGGTATATATTGCCGCGCGCAAGGCTGAGAAAGCAACGCTCGGTCACGGTCCTCCAGAAAGTTCCCGTTTATTCATGTAGCGCACGTAACTTCTATTATTTATATCCATGTATCTTCTGCTTTTGTTTTCTAGAAAGTGCGTGTTCATTCTCGCCCCGATCACGCGACGCTCGAGCCGCTTTCGCCGAATCTTCGAGATAGCGACGCACTCTAGATAAGAGGCCGCCCGCGACCTTGTCGAGTCAGTTTTCGCCCAGCGTTCGACTCTGCTGCTACGCCGATTTCGACGCCCGCGACGCTCCGTTATTATCTTTTGTACCCTTTTGTTTTTTGGCACAAGTTCGCCACATTAAACGTTTATTTCTTTCTGTTTATTTATTGTTTATTGGCCACCACCCGTGACATTTTGGTGGAGGTGCGGGGTAGCGCATGCCCGTGGAGCGTTCCCCTCCCAGGGCCCGCAGTGCAAGCCCGATTCCGAGCCCGGTGAGAACACCACTCGATGCGGAACCTGAAACTCGGATCAGTCGCCGCACCCAAGGTCTGCACCCGGAATACGGACTTCTGCCACCCAGCACCAAGCAGCCGACGAAGCCGACGATGGACGGCCAGCAGCCACAGACCCCGGCCGCTCCTGCCTTTATCTACCTGCCAGTCGCACCCCGGACTCCGACGCCATTCCACGGGGACGCCCACGAAGACGTCGAGGACTGGCTTCAACAGTACGAGCGGGTGGCCCAGCACAACCGATGGACGGACGACCAGCGCCTGCAGAACCTTTACTTCGCGCTCGAAGGAACGGCCAGGCACTGGTTCGAGAATCGGGAGACATCATTGATCTCGTGGACCGCCTGCAAGAATGAGTTGAGGCGAACTTTCACAAACCAGTATCGACGGGAGAGGGCCGAGGACCTTCTTCGAATGAGAACCCAGGGCGCAAACGAGACCATCACCAGTTTCGTCGAGGATGTCCTGCGCCTGGTCACTCGCGCCGACCCTCAAGCCACCGACGAAAAGAAGTTGCGGATCCTGATGCGAGGCGTACGAGATGACATTTTCGGAGGCCTCGTCCGCAACCCGCCGACCACCGTCGAAACGTTTGTAACAGAGGCGACCAACATTGAACGGGCCCTGCAAGCACGAGCCGCTCACTTCCACCGAGCTCCTGCCGTCGCTGCACCCACGCCGTCAAGCTGCGCCCTCAGCACCAATATTCCGGGGATCCGAGAAATAGTCCGGGACATCGTCCGTGAAGAACTGAAGAAGCTGATACCTGCCGCCGAACACCCAGCTTCACTCTCGATCGCCGAGATTGTTCGAGAAGAGGTCCAGCAAGCGCTCCAGCCAGACGTTCTCGCCGACGCCGCACCGAAACCACCAGCTGTGACCTATGCCGCCGTTGTTCGTCGTCCGCAGCCTCCTATTGCTCGGCAGTACCCAGCTGCACCCCAACGAGAAGTCTCTTCGCCGCAGTACGCGCCGCGCCAAGAGCAGCGTGGACTTCGAAAGACCGACGTGTGGCGCACGGATGACGGACGCCCGGTGTGCTTCCACTGCGGGGAGGCTGACCACGTTTACCGGAGGTGCCCCTACCGCCAGCTCGGCCTGCGAGGATTTGCTCCAAACGACCGTCGACCTCGTTTTGGAGAACGACCAAGGGACATCGAAGAATACCTCCGTCGCCCTCCGTCACCAGCGCCCACCGCACCACGAGGTTCCCGTTCTCCATCCCCCCGACGTTCCGCGTCGCCTTTCCGTCGGTCGCGCCGTGACAGCCTGTCCCCCCTATCCCGTCGGGAAAACTAAGTGCGGCAACGCCTGGAGGTGCCGTTGCCGAAGACGACCCGAGTAAAGAGCCTCCAAGAACGCCGGAGCGCTCGCACTCTCCCGACGTCACGCATCGCTACGACGCCCCTGCAACGGTGTCCAACAACCTAAACGTCGTCATCGACGGCCACGACGCATCGGCACTCGTGGACACCGGAGCAGACTACTCAGTCCTGAGTGGGAGGCTCTCCCGCCGCCTTCGAAAAGTCATGACGCCGTGGGAAGGACCCCAAATACGAACCGCCGGAGGACATCTCATCACACCAGTCGGGAGATGCACTGCTCGCGTCGAGATCCACGGTGAAACGTGCCCTGTCAAGTTCGTCGTTCTGCATGACTGTTCGAGGGACGTTATCCTTGGAATGGACTTTCTCTGCGAGTATAACGCCGTCATCGACCTCGGAACAAATCGGCTGACGCTACGAAAACCTGCTCCACCAGCGGAGGAACCCCAAGCGACGTCACCCACGGTACGAGTCCTCGCAAACCACGTAAACCTACCACCGCGGTCGAGTGTTTTCGTAGTTGTCGGGATCGATGAAGCTTCCTCTGGCGAAGTTCTTCTCGAGGGAAGCCTCCAATTGCTCCTGGGAAGAGGCATAGGCGTCGCAAGGGGAGTAGCTGAACTTCAGAATGGGCGGACTGTGGCCCTCGTGACAAACTTCCGAAACGAAACGCAACACCTCACGAAAGGTGCAGCCGTGGGCCACGTCGAGAAACTCCGAAACCCCGCCGAAATCACCGCGATTACTGACGAATCCTCGCCACCCCAGCAAGACAGTACGTCGCCAGCGCAGCTCGACATTGACCCTAAGCTTCCGGACACTAAACGGCGTCAGCTGGTTAACCTCCTCGCCGAATACCGCGACTGCTTTGCGACGTCGTCGAAGGTGCGCCAGACCGCGGTTGCCAAGCACCGCATCGTTACCGAGGACGACGCGCGCCCTGTGCATCGATCGCCGTACAGAGTCTCCGCTAAGGAAAGGGAGGTGATCCATCAGCAAGTTCAAGAGATGCTGAATGACGACATCATCCAAGCTTCAAGCAGTCCATGGGCCTCTCCAGTCGTGCTGGTTAAGAAGAAGGACGGAACGCTTAGGTTCTGCGTGGACTACCGGCAGCTGAACGCGGTGACGAAGAAAGACGTCTACCCACTTCCCCGCATCGACGACACGTTAGACCGGCTGCGCCACTCTCGATACTTCTCATCGATGGACCTGAAGAGCGGCTACTGGCAGATCGAAGTCGACGAACGGGACCGAGAGAAGACAGCTTTCGTCACGCCGGATGGGCTGTACGAGTTTAAGGTGATGCCCTTCGGACTATGCACGGCGCCAGCAACTTTCCAGCGTGTCATGGACACCGTACTGGCAGGACTGAAGTGGCAGAGTTGTCTCGTCTACCTTGACGACGTCGTAGTATTTTCAGCTGACTTCGACGAGCACTTGAGACGACTCCGAGCTGTTCTTCAAGCCATTCAGACCGCCGGACTCACACTCAAGCCGTCAAAGTGCCGGTTCGCCTATGACGATCTGAAGTTCCTTGGCCACGTGGTTAGTAACGAAGGCGTCCGCCCAGACCCCGAG